GGTGGGCACATTTCAGACTTGCAGGATATTGTTTTTTAACTAGAGCTTCAAAATCCATCAATCATTGCTTGGTGCAGGAGGCTATTAGTCTGTTGCAACAAAAGCAAAGAATCTCATGTCACCTTGGAGCCCAACAATAATATTATGGCAAAAGCTTTTGTAGACCAGAGACCACGTCCTTCATTAGTTGAAAGACTAATTAGTTGCCCCAGTTTGCAAAATTCGTGCCACTTTTGATTAGTGAGATTAGTGCTATTGTTTGGGATTGGTCTATGGAAAATGAAGACAGAATTAAGAGGAAACTATAATGCATTTTGGTAGAGCATCAAAGAATTTTGGCAAGGGGCAAATCTTTTCTATGACAGACTTCCTACGTTGTCTCAACAATTGTGTCTACAGTTGTTGGGGAATGTGACTTTCTGGAGCATCCTGACGTGGTTTGGGAGAAAGGTTAGCATGTCATCTTATTTTAGTTGAATAAATCTAAGGAAAGCCAGTGTCCTGCATCAATTAGTCAGCCATTGCCTGAAATTTCTGGCACAAGGTTGGGGAAGGCTGAATTAGCTCATTGGGTTGGGACATGGAAGATCCAGGTTCTGGCACTTCCCACCCCAACATGAAACCCACTCCATGCCTTTGGACCTAACCTACTTCACAGGGTTGTTGTTGTGAGGAAAAAATAGGAGAGGAGAAGGCAGATTATAACTTGTCTTGGAGGGGAAAGGATGAAGGGATGAAAAAGACTGCCAGCATGATAAGGAGCTCAAAGTGCTGGCCTGAGCCTTGGGAGATCTAGATCCTTATCCCCACTCAGCTGTGAAGTTCACTGGGGAACTTTAAGCAAGTCACTGACCTGTAGCCTAACCTACCTCGCAGGGTTGTTGGGAGGATAAAATAGAAAAGAAGATCATGGAGCCCATCTTTGGTTTCTTTGAGGAAAGGGGGCTAGATATAAATGTAATAATGGCAATGATATCAGTAGTATGTTTTCTAAGCAGATTTAGTCATTGTTTTAATATTAATTGTTGAGTTGTTTCCATATGGCAATTTTAGAACCCAGCTTAGGGCACGTGGCTAGGGTTATGCTGTTAGTGATGCAAGCTCCAGAACTTAGAGGCTTTTAGTCATCCTAGGCAGAACACGATACTCATCTTCCTGTCCTTATGGCCAGCATTATTTGCCTGTGTAGTTTGTGTCACAAGTCGGGATTCCCCCTTCACGCAATCAAAAGCCACAGACCGTTTTTCCTTGCAATGCGTCCTTCCTGACCAAACAGCACAAAACACCAGAATGAATCTCTGAGCATGCACAGAGTGGTTTGCTGAGCCCAGTCTCCAGGAACCTCCTTATGAGCATGCCTGGGCCCCTTCCCTTTGGGAGGGGCCTTCTGAAAGCAAGTACACCTCCTCTTTGCATCCAGATCCATGTAATGGGGTCAAAAGCCGTGCATGTCTTGTTGGAGTCTTCACTTCTTTCTGTGTTTTCACTTCCCTCATTGCAGTGTCTCGGCATGGCCCAGATTCCACCCCTGCCCCATGACAGTTCCACTTCACATTCTGATTCTGGTTCCTCTGCAGCCCAGCCAGTCCCTTGAGAACCAGCACCCAAAGCAACCCTCTTTCTCGCTCACAACAGCTGGGGTGTTTCAGAGGTAAAGGGAAGGGAGCTTCCATCCTGGCCTTCCCGCCCTCTGAGTTATGCCCTGTCCCTTTCTTTACCCATCCTCTGGTTCATGGATGCTGTTTAGGGGCTCCACAGGATCACTCCCTCCTCCTTCTTTGCTAGGAACTCTGTTTTGGAAACAGAGAAGCCTATATATCTGAGTAAGTAAATATCCCCCCTTTGTTGACAACAAGATGCTCACAGCCCACCCAAAACCTATTTACTATAGATTTTTCTCAGGAACTCTTCCTAAATTCTGCACTCTAAAATGGGTTAATTATGTCATGCTTATAAGCATTCTATTGCTTACAGGGCAAAATGATCAATTTAAAGGATAACCAGCTGAATGTGATTAAAATATTACTGGTCTTAGCAGGAACTGTAGGGCAAGCTGTTACAGAGGCCTGGGCACATGCAGTCTAGCCTGGATTTAGTTTTAGCTTTTGTCTTTATCATGTTGAGATTTACTTGTTTGGTTTACATTCGATGAGCGATTCAAATCCATATGGACCAAACATCAAATTTTCAAAAGTTACTTTTAAAATTTGGAAAATCCATCGAAAAAAGGTGCCGGAACTCTGTGTTCTATGACAAAAAGAAGCACTGATTGTACATCAATTTGAAGGTTGCATGGCCAGAAGAGTTATGAATCAATACTTTTCTTAGATGATGATGATGGTGGTGCACAATAAGAAGAAACAACATGAGCACAATACCATACAGAATCAACACCACCATTAAAGCATCAGCAGAAATTAATGCAAAACCATTGGCAGCAGAGATTAAAACAATGCCAACTGATCCTTAAGAAAAAGCAAAAAAGTATTTGCAAAATGATGGAACGCCCAACAAGAGCAGGCAAGGAGAACCTTCTCTCCTGATCCCACCTACCTAGACCAGTAGGATGAGATGCATTTATAAGACAATATATGTGGCTTGGAATTTTTGTCTGGTTGAGGTTCCACAGATTTTCCACCCTTGGAGATACATGTCCGTTGAAAACCAGCTCCAGTCTTGGCCAGGCACTCAGGTTAAGGTTGAGCTGGAAATCTGAGCATAAAGAGACCAGTTAGGGAGCATTTGTAGGGAGATGTCCGTAATCATCTGAACCGCAGGCAACCCAAGCAGCATGGGAGGGCATAGAAGGGAAGGGAAATCTACGTTCTTCTTACCCTGCAAAGCAGCCAGACAGCTGATTTCCACTAACTGCTGTGCTTGGGATGGAGCCAAGTGCCATAGGCTGAGACACCACCCAGAGGCACCATAGCTTGGTGACACCCACCTATCCCCTCCCCAGTCCCTGGAGCCTCTCCTAACCCTTTCTCCATTATGACCTTGGAGAAGCAGCCAGCATAGTTCTTTCTGTGCCAGTTCTACCGGGGCAGAAGGATCATAGCACGGATCCCCAACGCCAAGGTTAGAGTGATTTTCCGACCTTGGAGCTGGGAATCCAAAGAACCCTTTGTTGTCTTCTGGCCGTAATTCTCCTGAATTTTAGGCAGAGTTTTTCCAGCCTTATCCAAAAAGGCCAGGGGTCAGCCACAACGTCCGTGACCACAGCACACCACTGCTTTGCTTGGGAATTGCGCATGATAGCTCTCCTCTGGCCATCTCAATTTGTGACATGGTGGGTATTAGAGAATGCATAGCTGACACCTGCAGGTGGAAAAGGAAACTCCAAGTCTATCTATAAAATGTGTGTAGAGAGAAGGAAGCAAGCGTGTGGACAAAGTCACAACCTTTCTGTGATTTGTGAATATTGTGTCAACAGCGAGCATTTGGGGGCCAAATGGGATGAGCCCATAATCAGAAATTACATGTGTAGTACTTGCTGTTGTTTTAAGTAAATGCAAAAAGAACCTTTGGCATGGGGAGGGGGCATAAAGGGGGCACTCACCCTTTGTCCCCTGCTGCATTTAGTTCTAGCTCAAGCACTTGCTGTTTGCATTGGAAGTAAAAGCTTCCATGGGCACCAGTTTCACAGACAGCTTTTACTATCTGGACTGAAATTCCCTCTTCCTTTGAAAAATGGACTTTTCATTCCATGTCACATTTATGCCTTGTCAATGCTGTATTCCTGGAGTGGCAACAATTTTCATCATCATAGTGAAAACATTCAAAGAACTTAGCAAGCAGCCTCAGCTACGTTCCTTAAAGGCAGTTCTGTGAAGAAAGTAAGGTTATCCCAAAATGAGTGTGTGGCAAATACCTGTTTTATCAGACAGTATAAAAACCAAAGAATACAATAGCACAAGAAACAATATATTAAACATCAAATACATAAAGGGCTCAGTCCATTGTCTGGAAGGTGATAGGATACTTCAAAGTCCTAACTCTAATTCCTGTTACCTCAGGACTGAATTTCGGAAATCTGAGACCCTCCCAGGAAAAAACCATGCTTGCTCCCCTATCCCAGGGTTGCAACAGGGCTTTAAATGCGGAAAAAAGCAATGCCAGGCACATCAGTCCTTGCACTGCACACAGGGTGATTGCAGGGGCTACCGCTACCTATGTTGCGGGTGTAATGGGGTTCTGTCTCAAGTTGTAGAAAATCCTACTATTTGCAAAACTGGAGTCAACCCCAAAGGTTCAGCTTTTCTCTTGAAATGTACCAAGGCTTTAACCTGGAAAGAAAGAATAATAATTCTTAATCGCCATGTCAGAAGGCTTGCTGCTTAATTCTGGTGTGGTACTTTTTACTCTTTCGTATTTGCTGAGTCTCAATACTTGAATAATTTTCCAATTCTATATATTATTTGATTTATATAACCTTTCAGCAGCACACGAAATATACTTTGAACAGGAGTGAACAAGCGACTCAAGAAACGCAGTTTTACAAGAGCTGCGTTATAAATCCGAAAGCAAGGAAAAGAAACAGACTCCAGAGAAAACTTAGGATCTGCCGGGTTCCCTCCCCTTTCGCGACGTCACAAATGAAAAGGCACGTTCTCTGCAAAGCATCACGGGACTTGTGGTTTCACAGGGCGATGACGCAAAATGACGGGCCTAAATTTCAAGACTTTAAATTTCGAGTCTTACCGAAGAGCGGTTTGTTTATAGTATACAGATTTTTGTGTGCGTGCATTTCTATGTATATGTGTAATGTATGTATTTTTTTAAAGAATCGGGCGATGCTCTTGGCTACACAAAGGAGAAGCCGCTGTCTTCGCCCCTCAGCGGAGCGGTCACCTCTCCCCCCCCCTCACAAAGAGAGCCTTTCCCCACGCGCCAGCCTCGGAAGTGACGTTCAATGGGAGGCGGGCTTACCGGTGTCTGTAACGCGGAAGCGCGCTGTGAGGGGAGGAGAAGGTGGGGCGGGGAGGAGCGAGCGAAGTCCGGGCTTTGGTGGCGGCCGCATTGGGTCGTGGCTGGTCCGCGCCTCGCTTCCAGTCCGGGGCTGAGGCGGCTGTGTCGAGGACTGGGGGGCGGCCAACCACCACCCCCTGACACCCGCCCTCTCCTCCGTCACCCCATCCCGGGGTGCCTGCCATGAATGTGGACGTGGAGTTCCACATTCGCCACAACTACCCCTGGGCCCGCCTCCCTGCCAGCGTCAAGCAGGTACTGACTGACCCCTCCCGGCACCTGTAAACAACAACGCCCCGCCTCTCTCCCTGTCCCCCGCGAACTGACCCCTCCGGCCACCCGTACCCCACAAATGCGATATAGGCGAGCATGGATGGTTTCTCTCCGTATCGCTTGGTGTCGGGCAGCTTCTGAAGTCCCGGTTCAATATTCTTTCCAGGCAGGAGGTCTCCGGCTGTTTGGAACTGCAGCTGTCATCAACCTAATGGGAGTTGTTGTCCAGCACAGCTGGAGGGTATCAGGTGGCCAGAAGCTGATGTAGGGTCCCCAGGCACCTGTATCTTCATCTCCCGACTCTTGCATTTTAGGATCCGAACCGGTTGGAGCAACAGTACCTTAGTACACTGCTTTTCCATAGAAAAATTCTTATTAATTATGGATTACAGTACACAGTACGTTTAGCCTTGTATTTTCCACTCTGGTTGGTATTGAGCTCCGTGTAATTGCCAGCTTTGCTGCTGGAGATCTTTTGAATTTGAAACACCAGTGACTGTTGTTTGATCTGTGTGCAAAGCATGTGTCCTGCCACTGAAATGCAGGATGCCCAAAACTGCATTATTTATTTGAAATTATCAGCATTCACAGGTTATCTGTCAATGCATTGGTCCATAGAATGCTCTTGGCACCCATGTCCAACAGAAATTAATCCCAGCCCATGACTTTAGAATTGTGCTGCTCCTTGCCAATAGAAAAGTCTGTGCTCAGTGTTTTTGGTAGCAGTTCCTTTTGGAAAAATTGTGCAAAACTGCCTGTGACAGTAGATAATTGCACATCTTATGTTACTGTGTTTGTGCTACTGTCTTGATTGCTTTCTTCCCTATTAGTGTCAGATATATGCTAATACCAGGCAGTGTTTGTTTTTGAGGGTACTCTCAGAACTAATATTGATGTGAAGATTGCTTTGTCCTTCTCAAATCTATGTCTGTTGTAAAGAAGGCTGTGGTATATGAAAATCTCATGTTACATAGTAAATGTGTGTTCTGTAGGAAGTGGTGTGTGTGTTCACAAACCAGCACTTTGCTGATTGCAAATGTGGGGCAAGTTCTGTTAAAACAAAACAAACACACTAATTTATGTAAGTAGCGGGTTGTCACTGAAGGTCTGCATTGATGTGTTGTGGTTACCTGAGAAAGCACAACTTGTATGTGTGTTACACTAATTTAATCTAATTGCTGTTGGTCTAGATCATGCTGATCAATAAAATTCATGCATAGGATAACACTTTGACTCTTTTGTTTTTAACATTTTAACTTTCAGTGTTCCAGTTTCAGTGGGTCTGAATTATAAATTTATCTTCTAGACTAAGGATCAGCAACTTGTTCAACACCCATGACCTCACTGGAAATTTCTACCACAGCATATTCAGGTGTATCATTCTAACTGTGACAGCTAGTATTTCTTTCAAGTGACATCTAAGATTCTGAGCTTTTAGGTCTATGAGCTCCACAAAGGAGACAGATAGCAGTTAATGATCCACAGCCTGCAAGTGGCAGCCCTCCCCCAGTCTCAGGCAAAGAACCCTTAACACAACCATCCCACCTGTATCAAAATACTGTACATTCTTAGCCCTTTCCCAAAGCCTACAACTTGCATGAATCCATCTACAGGCATAATTTGAGCATTAACAGGTTTTAGCAAATGCTTATGGGCAGGGGTACATTTATACTGGCTTGCCAGTTTAAGGATCCAATACCTGGTAGTAGTCTGGTTTCAGCATAATTTTTAAAAAGGGTTACAAAATGAGCCTAAGCTAACTTTAACATAATCTGCTTGGTCCTCCTTCAAGGAATTCAGAAGCTCTTGCTTCCATTACAGTTTGATCACCATATGCTGTGTTATCTGAATTTGACAAGCTGATCTTAACTACAACTTCCTTAAACAAACTTCACTCCGCAGATTAAGAAGTTATGTTTTTTCCCCTACAATGCTTAGTGAAAATTAACCACTGCATACGGTTTGGACATAATCCTAGACTGGGTCAGTGTAAAATGGAAGTGGATATTCCCAGTCTCCTCCTGACAGTCGCACAGGGGAGGGGAGTCTGCTAGCCAAGGCTTTCTGTAGCTTCTACGTATAACACTCCACCGGGACTGCATGTTGCAAGTAAGGCATTAGCCCGTTCTGTATTTTCAAGCCCTTTTCCTACATGTGTCATATGACTAAGAGATGCATGAATCAGCTATAACAATCAATTTTGTGTGTAAGAAAACCTCGAACCACTTTTTAACCACCACATGATTCTATAATAACATCTTAGGCCAAACTGTATATTAAAATACTGAGAATTGCCGCCTTAATGTGCTTGTTTACTCAGAAGCAAGCCCCATTGAGATAAATGATACTTTCAAGCATTGTGTGCCCAGGATTGGGGTTAACTGTGTGAACATGCCAATGCATCGCATTATACAAAGCTTTCAGCAGTTTAAATAAGGTTGTTGTTTTTTTCATAGGGTCTTGGAAACTCACAACGGGAATATGAAAAGCAGGTTGTGCTATATAGTATCCGCAATCAGTTGCGGTATCGGAATAACTTAGGTGAGTAGAGGAAAAACAAAACTGGGTGAGGGAGAAGTTTTTGAAAACATAATATCATTATCCATAATTCTAGCTGTGTGCTTGGTGCTGAAGTTTGCTGGGAAAACACCTGTAACACCTGAAAACACCTGAAGTTTGCTGGGAAAACATTTAGGAAGCCCAGCTTGGGAACAAAAAAGTGTATAACCTCTCAGAAACTTCTTTTTTTAACACAAGGGCACAGGAAGAATGTAGGGTAGGGTGACTGGGAAGTTTTGCTTTCTGCCAGAATGTATTTCATAGCTGTACGCAGAAGTGCTGACATCACTTATATTTGTAAGTTGCCTTGAGCTTGAGCAGCTTGGTGAACTTATTTTAAATAAATACATTAAAAAGCACACATGCCTTGACTAGGAGGTAAGAACCATTGACTTCATGGACTTGAATTTTATTTCCAGGAAATATGTCTTTGGAACTCAGTGTATGCATAATGTGAGATTACCCTTCTTATTGTCCTTTCCCTTGCTGTTAAACACTTCTTATTGGAGTGTCCTTTGTTCTCAAGTATACAAAAGGCCTCTCTACATACCCAGTTCCCTGCTCTGAATTTATTCTCAGTTCTGGGTGCTGTTGATTTACAAGCTTATTTATATTTCTGATCTCCATTGACTGACTACCCTCTTTTCAAGACCATTTGAATTATTGGGAACAAGCCACTGACTAATTGCCCTGCATATGCCATAACTAATTTGTGGTGCAGTAGGGCCACTCTGCATAAACTTCAGCATGCCCACCAAATGTCTTTGAAAATGGACCCTTGAAGTTGGCACGACAACCTCTCCCAAGTTTTCATTCACACCCCATAAAAATTTAATAAGTTGACTAATGTATTAAGTCTGTTGCTAAATGCGTAATGCTGCTTTTCTCTTACAGTTAAGCATGTCAAGAAAGATGAACGCAAATACTATGAGGAACTTCTGAAGTACAGCAGAGATCATCTCATGTTATACCCATATCACTTGTCTGACATCATGGTGAAAGGCTTGAGGATAACGCCCTTTTCATATTACACAGGAATAATGGAGGTAAGTTTGAAGAAATGCTTCAGGGATGCATTTTGTTTTGCAGAGTGATGGAATTATAAAATAGTACAGTTGGAAGGGACTGGTAAGGCCACTGAGTCCAACCCCTTGGTCAGTGAAGGACACCATGTTGTCCTTCTAGCAATCCATGTGTTTCAGCGAAACGTAATACATGCCATATGGAGTGATGGGTCCTTTTGTTCACTTTTTGTCAGATGGCTGTTGGTAATAACTGGTAATTTGGCAGCTGCCCTTTGGACTTGTAGCCAAATTACAATGTAGGAACTTGCAAACTTTTTTTAGCAGAAGAAGCAAAAAATCTTTGAGTGTCTCCTCATGTGAGAGAAACAAGCATGTATACTTTGGCACAGAATAAACTGGTAATTTCTGATAACTGTTGTTGATGGCCACCTTTTTTCTAATGAGACTATTGTCATTATACTCCATGAAATTGATTATATATGCCTCAGTTCTGTGGATATGCAGAGTTCTAGCTATTAGTGAGATGCAATTTAAGGATAAAAAGTTGATTCCAAATTACATATCTGTCCTCCATTACCAACCGGAAGGAATTAACTTGCACCTTCTGAGAATGGCTGATGCTACCCAAATGGTCTGCCTTTTTGAGCTGATGCCATACAAGCAGGCTAAAAATGTCACATCTGTCCCCATCCATCTCTGCCTGCTCAACAGTTTCCCATGGAACCAAGCATGGTCTGGTTTCTACCAGCCTCTTGAGTTATTTCTGGGTTTGTTGGCCTTGGCATTTCAGCTAAGAATTACAGTTGACTGCTGCTTCCAGTTCTGATTCAGAATCTCAGGAAGGTTGTATTTTAGGAAAAGTGGGCCTGGTCCTTACCCAAAGCAACACAAGGAACCACACAATCAAGTAGCATGACCAATGTAATTATAATCCAGTTTGAAAGATACTACATTATTTGTCCCCTTGAACCACATGGCAGACTGGATTCCAACAAGCTTCATGGTGATGCTTGATTCAGTTGGTCGGATGGCTGGAAGTATTCTTATTCAGGAACCAACAAATGTTAGCAATGCATTCCTTGTCCTGGGCTAGTCTAGTCCTCTATTTCTTTCCTGTAGTATCTCTTCTTTTGAATTCACAGTCTCTTTCTTCTCCCATCCCCTCAAGGAGCCAGTCAGCGGCCACAGCAAGTTATGTCTGCTTTTTCTCCCATGCTGTCAGGGCAAGATGTTTCCAGTGGCACTTGAAATCTCTAGGCCTGTCCTGTTTTTCTTTTTCCCTTTTGCAGCATTACAGCTGATGGCAGCTCTTCCTGGTGCTGTAGCGTCTAGTGTCAGCCACAGGCTATTTACTGAAATTCTCAAACTAGTTATTTTTTTTTCAGTTTTTTTTATTTTTCAGTTTATATCCTGCCTTTTTCCTACAAAGGGCTCAAGGCAGCTTACATCTCCTCCTCCATCTTATCCTCACAACAACAACCCTGTGAGGTAGGTTGGGCTGAGAGTCTGTGACTGGCCCAAAGTCACCCAGTTGGCTCCATGGCTGAGCGGGGACTCGAACCCAGATCATCTGAGTCCCAATCCCATGCTCTTAACCACTACACCATGGGCTTAATCCAACTTATTATCAGAAGTGATATGGTGAGACTCTTGGGTTCCAGTTCCTGTTCACCCATGAAGATCACTGATAGGATTGGAGAAGGAAGAGATTAAAACAGGGATCTATGTATACTTCCTTGGAGCAATGAATAGATACAAATGTGATCAATAGGAAATTATGCAGGTCAACTGATGGCATGAGACTATAAGGTTTACATCCATCTCTATCCCAGTCTACCAATCTCTTCCTGGTGTGGGACTGCCATTTTGCATACAGAAAGCTTGAGTTGCTTTCCTCCTACCTGCCATGCATTTCATTAGTTGGAGCACTAGAATGCACTACTTTAATGTGCTGGTGGAGTCCCTCAGACAAATGAATGGGACAGTCCATGCGCATGTCTCGATCTGAGTGTTCTTGCTTAAAATCAGCATTTCCTTGATTCTGTATATCTAATTTTAGATTGTACTGTTGGGAGGGGGTTTAAAAGTTGTTTGTAACATAAAAAATTTCCAAATCAAAAGAAAGACATTCTTCTCATGGACGATAACCCATGAGTTGCTCACATCTTCAGCAATCTATGGTGTAAATGAGGGAATATCCGCACTGACTCCCACATGCTTACCATCTCTATTTTGAATCCGTTTTAATCAGTGGCCCAAGAATGGGGCATTGTTTGATGTGACATCTGCTCCCCAGATCATGGGTTCTTGCTGAGTTAAAGCTCTATGTTCTGTATCTCTTAACTCAGGGTTCCAGGTTTAGGCATCATATCAAACTTCCCAGGCTTGGGGCATTCCTGGGTTGTTGATTAAAGCTGCTAGAATGTGGAAAGGACAAGCATGTGGAAGGCATCATGTTTGCTCATAGCCCCACTGAATCATGGGTTAAAGAACCTGTGAATTGGCATTACTGGAAAACCATGGCATAAAAACAGAACCCAGGCCAAAACCTTTTTATTTGCCTGATATTTTAAGTGTTGACATGGTTTTAAAACTGGGTTTTATTTGTTGCCAATTGTTGGTTGATGCTGTGCGTTTGTTATATTACCATCCTGGGACTCAGTGAAGGATGGTATGGAAAGGCTTTTAATAAATAAAATAAACTCCAGTAAAATAGAATTTGAGTGCAAAGTTGGTTCAGCATATGTACTAAAGTAACATGAGTGCATGATTATGAAATGAGACATTACAGTGGATCCAACTTGACACTTCAACTTTTCCCTTTTTTTAAAGGATATAATGAACAGTGAAAAAAGCTATGATTCATTGCCCAATTTTACTGCTGCAGATTGTAAGTATGATTGTGTTTTTTTTTCCATGGGCTACATAAATGTTCATTGCAGGGACACACACACACACATATCTTCCTGGTTTCAAAAACACAGCTGCATGGTCGTTTCTTTTTGAAGTTGTAGACTTGTTTAAAAGTGCTTTTGAAATTTGCGTTAAATGTCTGTCATACATAAAAAGAACAAAGGCAGCACTGATTACAAAATAACACAAATAGTTAAGAAAATAAAACACTAGCCCATCAAGTGACTCTTTTGTGGATAATTGATGTCTCAACTGTAAGCCGTAACAATAACATTTAGATTAAATTTTACATCCATTTACTATAACCACTTCTTCCTTGCTGGTTTTCACAGAATTAGCTGTCAGCATATTAGCCTTTGAAGCTAATATGAGTAATTCTTCCTTCCCATTCAGAAGGAACTTGATTTTCTGAACTGCAAACCAAGACCACTGCTGGCCTAGAAGAGGGAGAGTAAGAAAACCATTTGGCCTTCCCTTTACCATTGCCCCAAATGCAGGTCCTGTATGTCAAGCCCACAATTCCAGAGCAAACGACTAAGTCTTCGATTAAAATACATAATAATTGTATACATTGCCTGGAACTTCCAAGCTATAAAAGACCTGAGGAAATCTTTTACAGTTCCGAGCCGATCAAATATTATCCTTAATGAGTGTGCTTTGGGTTGAAGTCCCAGACATCTTTTGAATCAAGGTTAAGCTTATTTGGTGCTACATATATATGTTTTAAATGAAATAGGAATATTATGACTATTTCCAGCTGAAAGTACTATAACAGCAAATGTCAGTGTTCAAACTCATGTTCTTTTATGAAATGTATGAACCCACCAGCATTGCTAAGAAGGGCAGCTGCTCCTTGGTTAGAAAGCAAAAGGTAGAAACATTTTCACTCCAGTTTCTTAGAATAGTTTTATGAATGTAATTTTTTAAAGGGACTTACAAAAATATTTCTTTTTCAGGCCTAAGGCTGCTTGGCATAGGAAGAAACCAGTACATTGATCTAATGAACCAGTGTAGATCATCAAAAGTACGAATTCAGTTTTCTTTGCTCGTCTGCTTTCCCAGTTTTCCTCCATCTGCCCTAGTACTGGTAGTCTATCCTAGAGATGTTTATGCCTTTAGAATAAGAGCATGCATTTTAAAAGAATGAATAATTTTAAATCTCAAATTTAGAATGTTTGGAAAGCCCACCTACCATTCTTGAGTTGAGCTCTTGCTCACAGAAAACTATCAAAATAAAAAGGCATTGCAACACTTTGGAAATAATAGATCTGGGTCACTATAGTTTAGCCCTTTAAAGTAAACAGTAGCAGCAACTTAAAGTTGGAACATCCCCGATAGCTGCCTGAGCGTGCTTTCTTGAAAACCTGGAAGGAGAGATTGCTTTATTTATGTGGCTTTGGAAGGCAAAGGGCACTAACATTCTGAGCATGCTGTTAAGGATAGTTTGTTTTTGTTGCATACAGGAGGCAATTTACCAATTATTAACTTGCCATAGTGGGTGTCCAATCACCTTCATTTTTCTGTAAAGTTGTGAGATTCACCTGTCTACTCCTGCAATTTCTGATCACAAGCAGTAAAATTCCTACCAACACCATTTGGTGGAATCTTAATTCCTTATTAAAATTACGTCCTATACTTCAGACTGTTCTCAAGACAGATGGGAACAGATACACTACAATAAAACAATTGACTAAAAAGTGATTTAATTAGAACAGCAGATATACCAAATAAACACAACAAATAAAGCTGATTTTTAAAAATCCTAGAACAGTTACAAAGTTCTTCATCTGGTGGTACCCAAAGAACAATAAGGTAAGCACCCTTCAGACCTCCCCAGGAGAACTTTCCAAAGACACAATAGTAGAAATAGCTTCAGTAGAAATCCTCTTCTCCCCGACTATTACTCATCTCACCTTAGAAGTCAAGTGCCCATGGAGAAAGTCTCATAGTGAAGTACCTGGACAGGTGCATATGGGAGAGAGTGGGCCCACAATACCAGATCCCAGCGTTCAGAGTACTGCCAACCAGCGAAGCTGCATCAACAGTGGCATATAAGGTGTTCCTAAAGCTGGTCCCAGGTGACGGCTTCATAGCTGCTTTCTGAACTAACTGCAGTTTCCAAGCAATTTTCGGAAGTGCCCCCTTGTACAACATATTGCGAGGGAGGGTGTTATCTGGTGGATGGTGATCTATGGGTTATGTTGGCTCTAGTAAATTATCTCTTGGTGAAAGGTCTTCTCATTGCACTGAGTCTGTCATTCTGTGTGCTTGGTGCATCATAAGTATGAGCAAATGCTTGTTCTCAGATTGATGAGGCATAATGGAGAAAGCAGATCTCTAGAAATGGTTAAGCCCAGTGTGCTGAGCACTTTATGGCTCAAAACCAATTCCTTAAACTGTATTCAGACATTTTTAGGATGTCTGTGCAGTTATTGTGAGTTGTTATATACAGATATGATAGAGAACCCAGTGTCCAGCCCAAGTTTAGAGCCATGCAACCAATCATACCAGAATATATTTACATTAACCTTATTTTCAGATTGCAGAAAAATAACTGTGCTTCAATTAACATAAATCTTACAGTTTTTCTGTGAGGGTGTATGTGTGGAAATTGAAGGATGAAGCAGAACAGTAGTATTGCCTGTCTCTAGAAACTATCATATTTGATCAGTTTTAACCTATGCATTTTGCAAATGCACTGAAGAGATCTGTAGATAATTTACTGTACAAAAATGTCTGGGAATTAATGATGAAAAGTAGTATCTTTTAATAAGACAGATGAGCTTTGTGGGGTTAAAGGTTTGTGTATGCCGTATTAAGAAAACATAAGTGATAATGTCTTCTGTGGTATAAAGCAGTATATCGGTTACTCAATTTCCAATGGTATGTGCCACTTCAGAAATTTTTCAGAAGGAAAACAGCTCGTGATTTGCTGCCTGTGAAACCAGTAGAGATTGCTATAGAGGCTTGGTGGGTGGTACAAGCTGGTTACATCACTGAGGATGACATAAAGGTACCTTCACTATATTTTTCTGGTTCAAGTAAACAAAAGCTTTGACTAGGCCTTTCATTTCATCTCATCCCACTCTCCAGATCAGGAATATAAACATACTTGCTGTTACAGTCAGAACATGCTTTTGTTTAGAGATGTTAAGGGCTGCAGAAATTTGAGGGGAGCCCTTTTTGGTACTAGTTTCGCCTTCTCCCTCCACCCCCAGTCTGTATTTATTCTGCTGCTAGCCAATTTTGTTGGGTTGCTCAGAATTCTAGTATTAGAAAAGTAGAATAGGCAAGAGGATGGCCTTTCCATAGTGAAAGTCTATTCTGGTATTTAATCCATGCCTGATCAGCCTAGCAACAGAGTCTCAGAGTGGTTGGAAATGTGCTGTTTTGTTGTCGAATTTCAATCTGAAGTTTACCTGGAATAATTAAAAAAGACTTGTATATTAATGCAAATATCTCCTTTAATAAACATTTCTCACTAGATTTGCACTAATGCTGAAAAATCTGCTATTGATAAGATCATTGATTCAGGTCCTCAGCTTGCTGGATCTCTGGACTACAACATTGTTCACAGTGAGTTTGGGTGGAGAGATGGAGGTTAACTGAATAAATTCTGCATATTGTATTTGTTGTAGTAGGTTTAAGATAAGCAGCGTGCACTGTTTGTTCAGATACTGTTACAAATATATATTGGCATCTAGCTCATTAAAGTTGAGTGCTAAGTATATCGTTTGGATTCAAAGATCCTCTTATTTGAGCACAGCCAGTTGAGTGGAAAGGTTCACTTCCTTTTTCTCACCTCCCCCCCACCCCACACTCATGGTCAACATCCTTTATGGAAGTTGCTGCTTAGAAAACTGGAAGGATTCTGCAATTCCACAGATACTGACTTTTGTGTCTATATCAGGAGCATAATCTGTCCTCTTGTATGTTGCATATCTTTGTCATATGACCTTGTTTTCCTCTCTCTAGGTTTATATAATAAAGGATTTATTTACCTTGATGTACCAATATCAGATGACAGTTGTATAGCAGGTAAGTTGAACTACTGTTTAGAGGGATTTCCCCAATCTAATGAAGGGCAAACTTCAGCAGAAAATAATAAAACTAGCATGCCTCCCTTTTTCTTCTGTTTCCATTTTTACGTAGCTGTCTAGATGTGTTTTCAGAAGTAATAAGAAGCTAAATGTTTGCAGGAAATACACTTGTTGCTCTTAAATGCGACTTGACAGCCCCTCCAAGGGGTTAGTACATATCTAAGTTCTCTGCTTGAGTTTGTGCTTGAGTCTAACCGCTGCTCCTTTCCTACCCATTTCTTTCCCCAACTTTTTCTCATAACTTTCCAGCCTTATCCTGAATATATTTAGGTTTCTTAATTGCTGGTGAGTGGAATTCCTAATTTCAAAAAAAGCAATTTGAGAACTAATGTACCTATATCTTATGCAAATTTATTAAAATAGCTGATTAATATTATTAATGATAATAAGAGGAACCAGAGAGCTGGTGTAGTGTAGTGGTTTTAGAGCATGTGATTTGGACTCAGGTGATCTTGGTTCTAGTCCCCACTCAGCAATGGAGCAACTGGGTGATGTTAGGCCAGTCACAGATTCTGAGCCCAACCTATCTCAGAGGGTGGTTGTTGTGGGGATTAGATTGAGAGCAGCAGGAGGAGAATGGTGCAAGCCATTCTTTGTAAGAAAAAAAAAGTGGAATAGAAAGAAAGAAAAAGAGAGAGAGAGAAAGCCAGCCAGCCAGCCAGCCAGCCTGTGGCATGCTCAAGAGGAGAGTACAGAGCAAAATTGTTGCACAGGAGAGATTGAGTAGTGGCTAAATTGAAGCAATGTATGGAAAGAGAATGGATATTCTATTAAGAGAAGGGCACAGTCTTGCTTAGATGGAAAAAAAGCCTGAAGCTCCCAACATTTTCCAGCCGCCCATATTGGTTTGGGCATGTTGGCAGCTGTAGAAATTTTTCTATCTAAACATGAATAGGTGTGAGCTTTAAGCACATTTCTTTGGTCATAGCCTTATCAATGTTGAAATATCAATATAAAATATAATCCAAGAGCATATCTTGTATAGGTACATCATAGCCGTACTGTAACGCTTGAGGTCCTGAAAGTGTGATGCATTTCATGATCCTAGAGATGTAATCTTTTTACATTCCCATTTTGTAAAATGTAATTTGAAGAATTCAAGCGTTCTTAGCTTGGCATCCGAGGCCCCGTTCTGCAGATCAGACGGTTTCAGGGCACAAGCAAGCCTCCCCTTGTGCAGGACGGGAGGAGCAGTGGAAGTGACCTCTTCCTCCTCAGTCCTTCAACTCTGCATTTTTTGCTGAACAGACATTTTCAGCTCTCTAGTTGGGTCATTTTGGAGGTAGACGTGAGGAGGCTGCAGAGAACACAAGATGCATTGTACCTTGGCATCTGCAGTCTTCTCCCCTCCCTGCCTGCCGGAACAGCCCCTTTAGCCCCTCCCAGTGGTTGAATTTCCAACTTTTGAGAGGCACCTGATATGGTCTTTCTGCATCAGGTGCTAGGAGTGGATGGGAGATGGCGCTCTGTTTCTGATCTTGTTATCTGAAGTATCCTGTGGTCCCCCGGGCAGTGTCCAGGAACCAAAGGATGGATGGGAGACTCTCATGCATCAACAATATCCATAGATTGTATCATTAATCTTACCTTTTCTTTTCAGTGCCCCCGCTCGAAGGTTTTGTTATGAACAGAGTACAGGGTGATTATTTTGAAACCCTGTTGTATAAGATATTCGTTTCAATCGATGAACACACAAACGTGGCAGAGGTAAGATATTCTTTGAACAGGTCGTTATATTGGCAAGCATCTCTCTGGAAACCACATGATAAACCTGTGAAATGTTCACACTCTTCATCAGTGTCCTTTGGCTTGCTGTCTGTCACTCTGGCCTTGGAGAGAAACTCAGTCACACATGTCTGATTTTTCTCATTCTCTGCAGGCTGGTGCAGGTCAGGCATGCATAGTTTGGGCTCTAGGCTTATGTTTATCTAAGCAAGGATTTGCTCTGAATTTGCTCTAAGAGTGCTTTGCTGCCGTTAGAGTTAAGGTGATTATTTCTCTCCATTCCAGTATGAAATTGACTTCTGTACTAGGGGATAAATGACTGATAAATGACTTCTGTACTAGGGGATAAATGACTGATAAATGACTTCTGTACTAGGGGAAGTAAAGAAAGCTATCTTGTAATATTATATGGACCTTTTCTTATCTCAGAACACTTTTCGGCTTGCTGGCTAGGTTGACTGGCAGCTGTTCTCTTAAGCAATCTTAGAGCAAACTTTCCAAGCAGTTGAAATAATTTTAACTGGAAGCATCCAGGATTGAGCCTTGTACTTTGTGAATGCAAATCATGTGTGCCACATCACTAAATCATTATCTTACAGTTCTCTCAGGAAAACGTATTTGTGCTAAAAATCCTACACTCTTGGTAAGTGGTGCCCTAAAGCTACGTACCACTTCAGAGTAAATTAAATAGAAGCCTTTCTGAAAACAGTCATGATCACCCTGATGGTCACCCTGATTTAGGAAATTGGTTTAGAACAGAATTGGAATGCTGGCTAATCGACTAAACAAATGTTATCCATTCACTGTCTATTACTTGACTATGCTCAATTATTGTTGAATATTCCAACAAGCTATTCATTTAACCAAGTATCTTTTTGAACTCTGTCTAAGTGAAGGTGTGACTTTTAATGGATATCAGCAGAATTGTCAGTACCCCTTACCTATTCTTGTGTTCTTTCAGCTTGCAAACGTCCTGGAGATAGATCTGTCACTGGTGAAGGTAGGCTTCCACTCAGTTTAATCACTTAAAGGAAAAACACCAATCTTTTATTAATAAACAATTATTTATCAATTGTTTTGAAATTAATAAACAAAAGCAACATGTGCTGATCATGAATGTCTTCTTCACTTCAGAATGCTGTCTCCATGTACTGTCGGTTGGGGTTTGCCCATAAAAAGGGGCAAGTAATAAATCTGGATAATATTCATTTGTCATGGAGGAGAGTTCCATCTATAAACAGGCTGAAGTGAGTACCTGGCTGCACACTGCTGTTGAGCGCACAACTGGGCAGCTTTCTTGCACTAGCAGAGTTTTTCCCGCTTAGCTTAGTGAGCTGGTGTCACTGCATTCATTATTATATGCTGTCAAGCTGCATCTGACTTATGGGAACCCTATGAATGAATTCCCTCTGTAAAGACCTGTCCTTGAAAGCACTGCCTAGTGGATGGTGTTTGGATGTTTACCCCATCCTGATCTAGCATGTGGTAAGTGGGGAACCTAAAGGATGAACGCGTCCATCTCCATCTGCCTGGCTAGTAAATTTTTTCCCAGTTCCGAAGGTCTGATTCTACTTGTGAAGCTCCTCTAAGGCTCAGTTCAAATGCTGCATTGTTTTGCTGAAAGACAAGTCCTAGCTGTCAAATCAGAGTTACAGAGGTATTTTGTGGATTCCCTGCCCACACGGTAGGACTCTTCTTATGTTATGACCTTTGTTCCCATTCTTAGAACTACTTTGGATCCACAGAAGATGCTGCTATCCTGGGATGGCACAGAAAGCAGGAGCCCTGTGCAGGAGACGGGGTCATCCGCCACAGATACAGACACAAATAGCCAAGATGACCAGGGTAAGAGGCAGGGCATCGATCGCTAGTTTAATGGTTACAGCTTTCCATGCATTCCTTTTAGTATTCCATACAGAGCAGTGTCCTTCATTCAGTGGCATGGCATTCTTTGTTCTGGATTTTGTTTGTTTGTTTCTCTTGTGTGCCACGCCCCATCGCTGTAAGACTCTCTGGGCAGCTTATGTTGCATGCAGTGACAACAAATAAAACAATTTGACCATACATGATAAATCAATAAAACGAATAGTAAAACATAAAACCAAGCATCCACTTAATAATAAAACCATTTAAACCATTCATTTTAAAACAGCCTTTTAAATAAATTTGTCTGGCAGCTAATATTTAAGCATGGCAGTGGCAGGAAATAAAAACAATTTGATAAATGATTATAAAACCAACTCAACTCATTCACCAAAACAGTTGAAGAAAGAAATGTTTTCAATTGGCATCTAAATGAGAAAACAGACAATGCCTGGTGGATCTCCATCAGAAATGTATTCCACAGATAGGGCGCTATTGCAGAAAAGGCCTTTTCCTAGTCATCTCCCCACTTACTTCACTGGGGGGAGGAATTTGGATTGTGTGGACTAGAGCCAGGCTAGAGGTTACAGTTTGCGCTGGCTGCTTAGAATCCTTAAGGCGTCTGATAGCCCAGTGGCTCGTCCCTGAGGACAAGGAAATACAACAGGGAGAACTGGACTGGTCCCACGTATTGAGGAGGAGGAAGCACTGGTTAGGCTGGAAAAAGAACCAGTGAGGCAGATGGGGATTTTTTAACATTCTGTTGCAACATTGATACCTGTTTCTCTTTAAAGCTTAAACCTTTATCTCTGGGTTAAAGAACTGTATTTGTATGTTTGGAACCCTTGCAGAAAGGCAGCATTTTGCCTTAACTGTCAAGCAGGCAGCCCAGAAAGCTCTGGCTATTGGGTAGTGCAATGGAATAAATGAATGGCTGGATGGCCTGCTCATACAAGCAGCAAGAATACTTCAAATGTCTTTCGTGAAAGTGTTGAGGCACTTCTCATGATCTGTGCCAGCAAGATGTCATGCAGAAGCCCCTTCCATAGATCTCAATCCCTCTGGTGTCTCAGATAGCCAGAGTTACACATGGACCTCACCCCGAGACCTTAAGTTGGTTCTGCTAAGTACTGCACTGTCTGGCCCTGCAAGTCTGTCTGTGACATCAGAGCAGCTGGGCCAATAGCAGCCCAAGATGCTCCGACAGTTCAGGCCTTCCTCGGCCATTCCGGGGTCACAAGGGGAGGGATGCTTGCCTGACTCTTTCTGGGCAGCTGGCCACTTCAGGACTCGTTTACAAGAATAGCACACGTCTGCTGCGGTACATGAGCGGGTCAGCTCATCCGTCACGCCCAGGCGATGCACACAGCCTTCGCTGGCTGTCAGAAGTATGAAAGTTGACAGTCCTGTTTCTGTTTTGTCTTTTGCTTCCTTAGGTGATACTGCCAGTGTGAGCAGCTTGAGTCTGTCGAGTGGACACATGAAGCGCATAGCCTTCTTGTTTGATTCAACTCTTACTGCCTTCTTAATGATGGGGAATCTCTCACCAGTATGTCAAGTTGCTTAAAGCACTGATACAGAAATGTCAGAACTCTTTAAAAGTTCTTTAACTCTGGTAAAAAAAAAAAAAATAAGGAAGTTGCTGTGTTTAAGTTTTCAAGTCTGGCAAATTTTTATGGGAAAATGAAACTTTTGACCATTATTACAGTCATTAAAAGCACAATCTTGTGAATGTTTAAAGAGAAAAATTACTACAGCTTCCAACATGTTGTAGTACTTTTTTGTCTAAACAACCACATCAACTTGGGAGAAGGAGGGAAGCTTCTCTGTGTCTTTACTTCTTTACCATTAACTCTATCGAACATTGGATAGATGCAGAAAAACTGAATATTACAAATTTAAGGACATACTATTGTCTGTCTTGCAGAATTTGAAAAGTCATGCAGTCACCATGTTTGAAGTTGGAAAATTGTCAGATGAGTCTTTGGACAGTTTTCTTGTAGAGCTTGAAAAGGTAAATGACTTGTTGTTCACTACTGGTTAAAGAGTGGGAGCTGGTCAACATTTGCATCCTCAACAGTTTGCTTTTCCATAGAGTACAGTTCTCACAGAACTGGTCTCAGACTCTATAAGAAATCCAGCATGTTAAAGGCCTCACTGTTACTGCACATGCATGCTTACGAAACATAAAAATCAATGTGACCTAAACCTTCAGGGTCTCTTCTTACCAATTGGAAACATTTTCTTATCCTGTAAGCAAAAGCCTCCAGGGGCAGATGGGATTACTTCAAGTGCTGAGAATGAAGCAGTAGAGGAGATCTCATGTTAAAATAAACCTCCCCCCGCCCCCCCCACATTATTAAAAGTAACCTTAAAGAGCATGTTACAATGCTAAAAGTTCATGATGCAACTTTTTTTTGTAATGATCAAAATCTTTAAAAGCTCTTTCATTCCATTTAAGGCATAATCTTGTGCGTGTTTAGACAAAGTAAAGGCCTGCGGCTCCCAGCCTATCCCTGGCATTGGGCATTATGACTGGGAATGATTGTTATAGTCTAACACATCTGTAGGGCACCAAGCTGATCTAATGTCTGTAACTTATGAAGGCTGTTTACAATGCTGTTAAAATGTGCCTTCAATATTTTTTAAAAAGGTAAGCATATTGGACAATATTAGAAACATAATAGTACTTGTGAACATGACACTGAAATATTTTTTGTTAAGAGTATCCAAGCAGCTGCATATTCATAATTACTAGGAATGTTTTTGTAATATTTTAATTTGATTTGCATCCATTGTATTTGCATAAACAGCTCATAAGAAGTACACATTAATGTTCTTTTATTTAGGTTCAAAGCACAGGAGAGGGTGAAGCGCAAAGATACTTTGATCATGCACTAACCCTGAGAAATACTATCCTGTTTCTAAGACACAATAAGGACCTCGTGGCTCAAGTTACACAGCCTGAACAACCTAATAATGGTACAGCAAACACTTCTCTGTTTTAGAAGAAATTCTTTATCCATTTTATATGCTTGGTACTTTTTGCTTTAATGAAAAGCTTTCTTCAGTTTTGAAAAAGTGTTCCAAATGGGCACTTACAACCTTTCAGAACAAACATCCTATTGTTAACTATTTTAGGCCTCTAATCATTGATCTTAGTGTGGCATTAACATTGCAACAGGCTGTGAAGTCAGAAATGTACTGTATACAAAGCCAAGAAATAATCCAAGCCACAATGAGGCCATCTCATTAAACGGAACCAACCTGATTGACGTTCTTGAGTTCTAATGACTGTAGGTAGATTTGCTGACAAGCATTATCCAAGCAGCACGTTGATCTTACACAATATTTTAGGGAGAACAGTGTTTGCATTAAAGATTTTAACACTATGTCCAGATGACTGCCAGTTAAGGCAGTCACATTAGAAAAAAAAACTGATTTTGGTACCTTTCTGTGGGACAGTCCCATTCTTTTCCACTGTCACCAATAGGGCATTAGCTGTCTGCAACTACTTTTGCCTCCCATTACATTGTGCAAGTGAAACTGGGACCTGCCTGGGTATTCATACATCCTCTTGCAGATAATGTTCTTCCTCTTCCCTGGCCCGGTTTGCATGTACCAACTACCAGGAGATTATTAGAACCATGAAGGCGGGAAACTTGCACTACTCAGGGTGCTGGTTCCCAGTTGTTCACTGCCTCTGCTTCTTTTCCACTTTGGTGAAGGAACCCATTCCTGTGTTGTGCTGTGTGGCATCTGAACCGGGTACTTTGGGTTGTTGGGAGAGAAGCAACCCTGAGTTTTAACTCCAGAACATAACTGTGGTTTTTTAGTCCCCATGCATCACCTTTTGGGCAGAGGCAGAGGAGAAAAAACCTGAACTATTATTCCAGGGTCAAGGAATGCATGAACAAGACTTCAGTTGTCATTTCAGTCCACAGCAGTGGGTAATGTAGCTCCCAGCTGCTCATGAGGTTGGTTTCACATTGAAGTTGGGTCTTATATGACAGGTTTGTGCCTCTGGAGAAGCTTGATCTCCAACACAGAAATTTATCTTTTGCGACTTTAATGTACCCTTAGTTTCTTGAATCAGAGTTGTGTGCTGTTGGAAGTGAGAGTGTTGGACTGCATTCTAAATTCCCGCTTGTCCACGAAGCTGACAGGGGGAGTTTGGCAAGTCACACATGCTCAGCCTAACCTACCTCACTGGTTGTTTTTGTGAGGATAAAATAGAGAAGAAAAACACCTTTGTAAGCCCCCTTGGATTCCTTGAGAGAGGAAGAAAGGTGTGGTATAAATACAACACAGCATAGTATTTGAGGAAGGGCTGTAGCTCAGTGTTAGAGCACTTGCTTTGCATGTAGAAATTCCCAGTTCAACCTTCTCCATGTTGAGATAGAGCTGAAAAAATTCCTGCCTGCAGAGCTGCTGCCAGTTGACAACAGTGGGTGAGATGGACCCATGAACTTGGGCTGAGGGAGTGTCCTGGGTTAGTATGAATTGCTGTTCTGGTTTAAGTAGTCAGAAGCCAGGGAATTTGGTGCTGTTGATTCAACTGCCCTCTTCAAAAGGAGATTTATAACCTCCTATTATGTACCTTAACCCTGAGATATACAGCATTATAAATTAACGAACTTAGATACCTTCTTCAATTAAAAAACAGTGTTGCTGGAATCCAAAGTATTACATAGTAAGGGGCTACCTTTCAAGGAATGCACATTCAAAGAACGTATGCCCAAGTGAAAGTTGGGTTTATGTTTCTTGAACAACAGTGTCCCCTTTGCCTCCTGGCAAAGCCCCCCCTGAAACAGAGGGACAGTTGTGAGATATCATGGGCGTCTGTTCAAGCTGCAAGGGGAATGTAAGGGCCAGGCTCATAGTAGCTCTTAAATTCCCTGCTGGTTTTGGTTTTGTTTTTTGTTTTCTTTGATAGGCGAAAATGGATGTTCCTACCTCAGCTTTCCTTGACCTTGTGTGCTCCAGGTGGGTTGGGCAACTCAACCAGTGTGGTCAATGGTGAGGAACACTGGGAGCTGTAGTCCCTAACATCTGGAGGACACCAGGTTGGGAAAGGCTGCCCCAGGTAATAACCTGTTTAAGGGTGCGGCAGGTGGTCCGTGGGAAGTCTTCTTTGGTGGACCCCCCTTTTTGCAGTCAAAGAAGGAATCCTGTGGTTAGAGAAGGTTCATACTCTTTGCTGCAGTGGCAGAAAACCGTACTGTTATCTTGCCTTTGTTACAGCCATAGGATCTGAAAAAGAGCATGTTGGAGCAGATCAGGGGTGAGCTTAGATGCTCAAGTTCTAATAGTCTTCCAAGTCAGCTGGCCTTGTAGCCGCTGGTGTAGTTACTTCTCTTCATCTTGCCATCAGTGGAAGGAATATTAAAAACATCTGTCTGCACTGGGGCATGAAGTTTTCATACTACCATCTTCTGACATGACTTTCATGAGCTAGCGTGGCTTAGGAATTGGTAGTTTCTCTCCTAGGGAATGTCTTTCCCCCCACAACCTCCACAAGATTGTTCTGTAAATCATTAAGTTGATTTTTATTAAAATTTTGAGGAAGAAAGACCATCTAAATTTGTATTTTTCCCTCCCGCTTTCCCATACCCCTTTCAGTTGTATATGTTCGTTTTTTATCTGTATTCCAAGTGTCTTTGACATTGTTAATGTAGGTTTTCCTCTGGATTTACTGCGCTGTGAAAGTTTGCTTGGCTTGGACCCTGCCACATGCAGTAGAGTTTTGAACAAAAACTACACACTGCTTGTCTCCATGGCACCTCTCACAAATGAAATTCGGCCCATCAGCAGCTGTACACCCCAGGTAAGACAATCCTCAAAAGAAACCTCGGATGGGGTGGGAGAATATACAATAATGTCAAAATCCTTTTGGCTGTACCAAAGCTGACCAAGTCAGAATTTGCAGTTGCCCTGCTGGCAGGTTCCAGGAAGCAGAGGAGCAGTTTAGGAAATGTTCAGCACCAGATTCACCCCGGATAACCGGGATGGGGACAAACCCTAGCATAATCTGTCCCTCTAGCATTCATGGAGTTCCTCTCATGCTCAGCCTGGTCTTGCAAAGCGAGCCAAGCCAAGGGAAGGTCCACCAATGCCTGGAGAAGGGAGATCATATGTCCCACAACCCCCTTCCATATCAGGTGCAGCAGCTCAAGTGGGTGCTGCAGAAGAGGGGCAAGGCCCATGCAGCATGTGGGGCTTGATTCCCTGGTGAGCATTCCGCCAACTCTCAGTGTGGTTGGCAGGAACTTGCACTCAAGGCTGCTGCGAGGCAGACGGGAGTCCAGGGAGCCAAGCCCAGGGAATCTGATAGCGTCCCACCCGCAAACAGATTCCTCACACGTTCCTGCCGATAGCAGCACTGGGATGTATGTCATGTGAGTGGCTTTAGAGGCGAAATGTGGCAACTTAAAATTGTTGTTACTACACGATTAGTCTTCTGGTCCATTAGATGTAAGAAAGAAATTAGTCAGGCATAAGTGTTCCAAAAGATGTTTTTCAAGCTGCTACAGGTTAGTATTACTGCTTGATTCTAATATGTTTTTAACACTGGCTTCTTTTAGTGTCTTTCTGATGACTGCTTTTAGAAAGTCTTGAAGGATTGGGGAAGTTGTTTGAAGGAACTTTGAAGGCCTTGCTGTCCAAAGGGCCGTTTGAATATGTAATTAACATTTGTTGCTATGTCTTTCCAATGTTGCTAAATCATAAAAGCAAATAGTTACATGGAAGCAATGTTCATTCTTGCTGCAGTGTGAGTTATTACTTCAGCTGCCTTTTTAATGTTTCAGCATATTGGACCAGCTATTCCAGAAGTTAGCTCTGTATGGTTCAAGCTCTATATCTATCATATTACTGGACAAGGGCCACCATCCCTGTTGTTATCTAAAGGAGCAAGACTTCGAAAACTTCCGGATATCTTTCAGGTTAGTACTATGGATAGAGAGGGAATGAAAGTTTTGTGTAATGAAGTTGTGGTTCCTTCTGCAAATTCACACACAGGATGAAGTTGGTGCTTTTACTTAAACAGACTGTAGAGCTGGAAATGTAGGAGAAATTATGTTTGGGTAGAAGCCTTTCACCATTTTCCTCTTCGTGTATATAAACAGCTACTATCAATGGATCTTAACAGAATTTACTGACCAACAGAACCCAGATTGTCCTTGATTTATATGCCTTTGTTGCTTTAGAATATACCAAATCACTATCTGTTAAAAAGTATTAATAGGAGGAAGCCACAGTCTTGAATTTGGAAAAGCTGAACAGATCAAAATAGGGCATTTTGGAGGGCTTTCACTCATAGGGTTGCCATCTGTCAGAGACAACTTGATGGCACATGCTATAGAGAGATGGGTATGCTGATAAGAAACTTGGTGTAAAAGAATTGGAAAAAAGTAGGTAAATCAGTACAATTGGTATTTTGGAATGCTTACCTACAGACAGAAAATTAAGTGCTGTCAGTTCAGCTGAGCAAGCTGGGAAAAGAGCTTGTTAATTTTCTGGAGCAAGATCTGCAGAAAGATATACACACTGAAGAATGTTGCTCTTAATGGAAGGCTGTATACATCTCAGTATTGATCTGACTGTATTTTCACTTCCATTTCCCAGGGTTATGACCGCTTGTTGATAACCTCTTGGGGGCATGACCCAGGAGTCGTCCCAACTTCAAATGTGCTCACTATGTTGAATGATGCTTTAACCCATTCTGCTGTTCTGATTCAGGTATGGATTCCCCCTGTAAAAATGGATGAAGTCACAGATGTTTGTGGCAAAGGGGAAAGATAAAAGAAGGAACTGAAGTTAGTTTGCTTAATAGGCAGATGCCAAGCAATGGTCCTATCCTGTCTCCTGTCTCAACCTAAAATGTATTGGGATTTGGTACTTACTGTTAAAAGCAGGCTGAGATGTTTCTGCCATCCTTCTGAATGGTGGAAACCTATTTAAAGAGCAGATAGGATTTTCATTATCTTATGAATGACGAGGAAGAGAGTCGTGGCAGCCTAATGGTCCTCCGAGGATCTTGGTCCTCCCAGCAGTAATTTCTCTTCTAACCTAACCAGAGCAAGCCATTTAAGGTCCTGAAATGGACTTAGTTCTTCCCTAATGCAATTGCTGTCTTGGGGGTGTTGTATCATGTAATCTCACTGTGTCACAGTGAGGGCTAGGCACTTCTGAAGATGAAAAGCTGAGAAAAGTCGCAGTGATGAGGATTCCATGTCTTGTCTTGGCTCTTAGGGGCATGGCATGCATGGTATGGGAGAAACTATCCACATGCCGTTTCCATTCGATGACGCGGAACAGCAGGGAGGTAAGTATATCGTGTTCATTATTATTCTTGGTTCAGGTTCAGCATGTGCACCATTAGCTCCTCCAAGCAGGATCTTACTCCTCACAGTAGCATGTTGATATTAAAGCCTAAGGGCTGAATTTATATTTGGAGAAGCTTTAAGGGGCCACAGGTCAGTGGCTGCTTGGACCAAACTGGTCACAGAACTATAAAGGGCCATGGCCCAAAAACTAAAAAATGCCAGCATGTTTTAGCAAACTTCTGCTGAGAAACCACCATCATTGCTTGGAGGAAAAGAGCATGAGCGCGTGGAAACCAGGAGGCTGGATTTGGACCCCAGTTTCTGGGGTCTTGCACTCTGGTTTTAAGGGTAAACAAGAAAATGCAAATATTTCTCTCCAGAATCTCAGGTCTTTCCCATCACCTGCTCCCTGATCCTTTTTTTAATTGAAGATACTGTGGTTTAAACTCAGGATCTTGTACATGCCAAGTGTGTTCTGTGCACTGAGCTGTTCTCCTTTGCTCAGTTTTCCTGGCTTTCAGATTTGTGTCTCATGAGTACTTAATTTTACCCATAAGCATTCTTTTTATATACATCTTTCTTGTACATTTTTTTTCCAAAAGGATTCATTTAACCCAAACAAAATGGAAGCATAGCTCCAACAGACTAGAAAGTCAGTGCACACATTAAAACCAGAACTGAAACTTGTAGCTGAACTGATGAAAAGTAGTACTCTTAAAAGTTGAGGATTATTTGGTGGGGGGTGGTAGTAAGTGGTTTATTATAGTAATTTAATAATGTGCATCTTTGGCGCTTGTTTCAAGATTTTTCTCGTCTCAACATGGGTGTTCATAAAGCGCTGAAGATGTTACGGGAAAAGATGGATCTGCAGCATTTCTGTGGCTATGTAACCATGTTGAACCCTTTCAGTCATCATGTGAACAGAAAGCTGAGTGATGCTTCTGATGGAAAAGGTTGGTTAGTAATATGTCTACATTGTCAGATTTGGTGGCCTGTAGCCTTTGAATTTCTTTTTTTTATATAATTTTTTTATTAAAATTTTAAACTAACACTAAAAACATCAAACATCACATACATCGGATTTACTGGGTCAGCCTCCTACTACATATTTTTTAACATTCTGAAGTCAAATTCAAATCAATTTATAATAATTTAAAAACATCTCTAAGTTTATGCCAAGTCCCGTTTCCCCAGCCAATTATAGAAAGAATCCCAAGTTCAATAAAGCCTTTGAATTTCTGTGCATCCTTCTGTGCAGTGAAACAAAGCGGGAAGGAAGGAAGAAAGGAAGCTGAATGTAGCATCGCTAGAGCATACGCAGTCAAAAGGCCAAATTCCAGGGCCCCATACATTCAGGATCTTCCCCGTTTTTCCTTCGGGAGAGAAACATCCTGTGCATAGTCATCTGCTACCAAGCACATCAAGAGTGTCCGTATCAGAAAAGCCATGGCATGGAGGATATGTCAGAGCTGCTGCATCATAGCACGAGTATAGCCTAAGCATATCTTTCTTTTCTTCTAAGGTGAGGCAGAGCTGGCACTGGGCTCAGATGTAAATGGAAGCACTGAATCATTTGAAATGGTCATTGAAGAGCCATCCATAGATTCAGCAGCTAAGCAAAGTCCCGAAGGTAATCTTTTTAAAAGTTTGTTTTTTAAAAAGGCAGGAAGAAAAAAGGTCATCTTTAATAGGGTGATTTTGTCGTCTTAAATATTCAGTATTGGGTTTGCCTCTAGAACTTTGTAGCTGTTGGGCATTTGCCTGGTGTCGGAAGTACTCTATCTGCCTTGCAGAACGTTGGTCACTGGCTGTGGATCATGCAAGCTGCAGGTGGTAGACAGAAGCTCTGGACATAGATAGACTGGGTGGTGCATGCCAGAAAGCTGCAACACACACTGAAAAGATGCCTAAGGTAGAAACCAAAGAGTGCAGAGAATAAATGTACTGCTGAGCAAATTCCGGTATGTTTTGTATACACCAGGTCTTCCTTGGGGGGAAATTGGAAGCTATGGAAGCATCATTCTACTCCAATTCTGTTCTCTTCCAAAATACTGCAACATAGAGTGAGTGAGCAAGTGTATGTATGGAGTTGAAGTCTGGCAAACTCACAAAATGAATTGTTTGCAAAGTAATGCACTAGTCCATCTATCCCTATTATACCTGTGTTAGTCATTTATGCACAGCATGAATTAAAAAGGAAAGAACAACTCTCTGTTCTACTTGACAAATGCTTCCTTGTTTTCTAACCTGGAGGCAATCTATAATTCACTGTGGTTAAATGGCTTCTTACCAGCCTGCTGTATCATGTTTTTGAAATTTAGCCCTTCAAACCAGTTGGAAGGGGAAAGAAGGAAATAATCTATTGTTCCATTGCAGAGGATTTTAATTTGACTGAGCAGGGCAGGATTCAACAGTGTGGATTTGCATTGTGACTCCTTCTAAAGAACTTTCATTTTGAAATGAATCCAGAATTAGTTCAGCAATGCATTCATTTCCAGCATCTTCTGCTTATTCTATTCCACATCTTTTCATGGTGGGATTGACCTTGTTAACTGCCATGTACGGAACCAGGCCAGTGCTTCATGTAGGCAGTGGTATCTGGTCTCACTAGCATCATCGAAGACAAGGGTCCCCAACTTTTTTGAACCAACAGGCACAATTGGGAATTTGGGAAACTGTTGTGGGCGCCACTACAAAGTGTGTAATCAGTGGATTGCTGCTTTGGCATTGGCCTGTTGAGTCTGTGAATCTTAGGCTGTATCTAATACAGCAAAAATGTTTGTTTCATGTGTACTGGACAGCACAGTGTCTCTTAATTATGTGATTGTCTAATTCAGTTAATTGCTGGTAGTGCAATACAACTAAGCCTTTTAAAAACATGCTTTGGTAATGTCCTGTAGTTGTTTCATTTTGTGGGAAGGTTTGTTGTTGTTGTTAGTTGTGAAGTCATGTCTGACCCATCGCGACTCCATGGACAACATTCCCCCAGGCCTTCCTGTCCTCCATCATCCCCTGGAGTCCACTTAAGCTCATGCCGACTGCTTCAGTGGCTCCATCTAGCCACCTCGTCCTCTGCCGTCCCCTTCTTCTTTTGCCCTCAATTGTTCCCAGCATTAGGCTCTTTTCCTTCTCATTAGGTGGCCAAAGTATTTGAGTTTCATCTTCAGTATCTGGCCTTCTAAAGAGCAGTCAGGTTTGATCTCCTCTAGGACTGGGTGACTTACATCATATTAAAATCCATAAACAGCATAAAACAATACAATACACAATGTGACAATGTTTCATGAGACAGAACACAGCGTGCAACAAGAAGGAAAGGAGCAATAAAATATCTACTAACAAGTTCATTCCAGATGTCTCAAGAGACTGTGCTAAACTTATTAAATATGGTCTGATTTTCAGAGAAGGGAGATGGGAGAAAGGTATCCATTGGAGAGCAGCAATCTGTCTCTAGAGTAGCTTTCCCCAAACTGAGCCCTTCCAAATGGTTTGGACCACAGCTTCCATTATGCCTGGCTATGCTCGATGGGATGGCAGGAGTAATAGTTCAAAATATCTGGAAAGATGTTCTCAGTTAATGAATGTTGGATATTCATTTTAAGTTCATTCCACTGTGCCTCTGTCTTCACAGTTCCTACAACAGAACTGGAATGGGTTCCCCTGGAACTGTGCTTTGGAATTCCACTCTTTAGCTCAGAATTAAACCGGAAAGTCTGCCGGAAAATTGCGAGCCATGGGTTGTGTAGCAGAGACAGGTGAGTTGCTGGGGGCGAGTGGGGAGATCATTGCAATATATGTGTGGAGATTGTTGGCTGACGTAAAAATAGAGAACGTTGTCTAACAGGTTTTTTCTCTTCTTTTGACAGCCTTCAAAAACTGTTACATTCCAGTAGAAAACTTTCTCTTCAGGTCCTTAGCTTTGTCCATTCATTCCAGGTAAAAAACTATGTTTCTGAAGAAGTTCCTTTATGATACAAATGATTGGGGCATGAATGAATCCACATCTCAGTGTTCTTTTTAACTCAGATGCCAAAGGGCACTTTCTACTTAGTAAATGAGCTTATTCTCTATATTGCATTCGTCATTGTTGTCGGGCTGACCGTGTGACTTCATCATTAACTGCACATTTTCTCTAATTGAGCCCCTTGCTAAAAGGACCACCAGAGCTATTCGTGTTGTCTCACAAACTGCTCCCCATCAGCTTCTCCCTTCAGTTTAGGTCTCTCTGTTTTTCATGGTCCTGTCTGCTTGCCTGGTCCCTTCAGGGGCATCTGCTTGAGTCAGAGGCTGTTTGTTTGTTTGTTTGTTTGTTTGTTTAGAAGTTTTGTATGCAGTCCCATCACTTATAGCCTCGGGACGGCTCACATAAATAAATAAACACAATACAAATACAGTTAAAATCCAGAAACACCCTGGCTGCACAATTAAAACCTATAGATATTATTAATCATTGTTAAAATATTGTTTAAATAAAAATGTCTTAGCCTGGCACCGAAAAACAAATAATGACGGCGCCAGGCGAACCTCTCTGGGGAGCGCATTCCACAGATGGGGCACTACCACAGAGAGAAAGCCCTCCTCCGGGTACTTTGCCTCCTAATATCTTTCACAGAGGGCTCCTGGAGGAGGGCCTCTGCTGCCAATCTCAAGGGGCAGGAGGGCAAATATGGAAGCAGGCGTTCCTTTAGGTATCCAGGTCTCAAGCCTGATTCCCAGGCTTTAAAATCCCTCTGTGACATCCGTGGGGCCTGGTGCAGGTGCTTGGTGCCACAGACCCCCTTGGTGCTATGGGCTTGGCAGAAGGGAGCAGAGGGGGGAGGACAAAGGAAAAACCTGCACTTTGTGGAGATCACCAGGGGCTGGGCTGAAGAAAGGCTTTGTGGAAACGTGCAGTTCCCTGAATTGTCTCCCCAAAAATGTTCGTGCACCAAAGACAAATTGCTAGAAGATCCAGGGCAGTTTAAGTTCCCTTCAGTTGCCTATACATGATTATCATTGAAAGAACTGCCTGAACCCCCATGTAAAATGGAGCTGTAAGTTAGTTATTGACCAAAAATGAACCAAAGTAAGCAAATATGAGCCTTCTAGGTAAGTAACCCAGCACAACACAAGATCCTCAAGTGCTTATAAAATGCTTTTCTCTCAAACATAATCCTAAAGATATGCATCACATATAAAACATGCATCCATACAGAAAAAATATAACAATATATTCAACAAAAAATGTGGAATGCCAGTACGTATTGGTTTTGATAGGCTTTATCAAGTACAAATGATTAATTCTAGTTAGTTAATTCCTTGGGGAAAATGTTTATGTTGGAATCTAGTTTTACCCTTACTGGGCTGAAATCCACTCATATGGTACTTACACTCTTCTATTCTAAACAGTCCTATTTGAAGCATGACTCCCTTTTTCTTCCTTAGGAAAGCATTTCAACCGTGGAATTACTTTCAGAGACCAACTTCTCTTCTTCAGCTGCAAGTTTACTTTCGCATCCAGCTTCTGCTGACACAGGCGTCCCGCTTCCTGCCAAGAATCTAATGTTCAAGGACGGCGTATTATCAGAATGGAATGGACGGTCTCCTTCCTCTGTCCTTATCGCAACCGTGCTCCCGGAACACCTGAAGTAGTTTGAGAATTCCCCGTGTGGTGTTCACATCTTGCCTTTTTTCTCCTGGTAACCAACTGCATTCAACTTCCAGTGCCAATCTTCTCAGAAGTTCAATGCTACTACAGCATGACCTCTGCAATGATAAGTGTTATTAAAGTGTCTAGTGTTGCACTTAACCTGGAGGAGATGCACCCCCATCTCCCCCATCTGTTACTGCATGACCTGCTGCAACAGAAAGCTTCTTAGCTCTTGGCCTGTCTCTCTTTTTATCTCAAGACAATCAATCTTTCTTTTATAATGGAAAGCACCCTTCTTAGGCTCTCTGATTGTTGAATTTGTATGCCTTCACAACGGATAATAGTAATTTTATACATTAGTGATGCAGATCTTAAAATTGCTTCTAATTTTTGTATTGTATTAACATGTAACAGTTAAACAGTTTTTGGCATTAGAATGGCACAAACGGTATTCAAGTAGTGTAACAAAAGCATCAGTGATGCTGGTGAGGCTGTTGGGGGGTCATGGAGGGAATGGTTATCGACATATTTAATAATTAGCTATTAACTACCTGATAGGAAGAATAGTGGGGGAGCATCAAGCTGTTTTCTAAGCAGTTTTAATCTTAAACTTAAAAAAGCACCTAAAGATGTCTCCTGCAAAAACTTTCAGAGATGGAAATAATTTTCATCCGTGGTCAAACCTCATTGTTTGATGGAATTTTGCCAGAGTTAAATGTGGTGCTGTCTGTACATAGAAATCCTTGTTTAGAAACTGTGTTCATCCAACTTGGTTTTATCAACACATTTACAATACATTGAAAAGCACGGGGCCCTTTGGCTCCAGTCACTTCTTTGTCCAAAGTTAACGAAGAGCCTGCTTGCATCACCACTTCATTGTGGGGTAGCTGTCCTCAAGCCTTGCATGTGATGGCCTCCGGCCCATACTTCGCCAGCCGCCCATGTGACTCTACCGCCACGTGTGAGATTCAGCTTTTGCTTCGGCACTGCAGGAAGCTGCAGCGATGTTGCAACAGCTGATCACGTGCCTATTGGTAGGTGCACATGGATTTTCAAGCACACTTCAGACTCCCGGGAAAACCGGTTGCATGAATAGGTGCTAACCAGTGAAAAGCACAGAACAGTTGGTCAGTATGGAAAGCAGTCTGCAAAGCTTTGTGTCCCTAATGAGTGTGGCATGTCGTGGAGGCTGCGTTGAAGCAGTTCGTAGTGGATTCTTCCCACTGATATCTGACATGGAGAAAGTCCGTAAGCTGAAGCAAGCCCACCTCGTGTCGAACTCTTACCTTCCATATAGCAGTTGACTCAGCTATTCGGATTGAGAACAGACCTGTATCTCATTGGCAAGCTTAGGTTGCAGTCCGCTGAAGAACGTCTGCTCTCCACTGAGACGACAGGAGCACTGGTATCACCTGTATGCAGTTGCCATTTGTCTCAGTGGGGATGGCACAGAAGAACATTCCAGTGGATTGAGCCATGGTGGGGGAGGTGTTGCTGTTCACCACGGGAAAAGTCTTAAGCGAAGATTATTGCATTTTGATCCTTTATATTTTTTCTCAGTGTTCCCTTCTTAGAAGGGCAGGAGGAGTGTATGCAGTGTTGTATAACAGTTAGCTTTGTATAGTTCCTATGAACTCCATGCTTGTGGTTCTTCTAGTTTCAGGATCTTTGCAACAGCTGTGAAATGTAAAAATGCAGCTGTAAAACAGTTAAAATTAGAGCCTTTCATGTCAAATCAGTGTGGTCTAAAAGGTTTTATATAGGGGCTTTCAGGAAGGGTGGCTATTTTACTGGAATAGTTTTTTAAAAGGCATGTTAGTAGGCTATAATGGTTGGGATATTTGGGGGACCAAAAACCCAGGGAACATCGAAGTGGCATTTAAATAGGATGCAGTAATAGCAGGTTCCTTCTCTAGTTATGTAGATCTATAGAGAGAGAGATAACAGGATTTGTTGTGCATATTTTAAAAATGGGAAATATGTTACAATTATCTGCATTCTAATTGTTAGAAATGGATTCTCTGTTTCTCTCTTTCTTGTTCCTTCTGTTTTTACACACTAATTCTGGAAATAAAGGGTTCTCTTTCGTCTTAAAAGCAGGCATGATGCATACTTTGCATAAGCAGAGATGGTTTTGGCCATCTCTGCTTTGTCCTTTTGTTTTTTGTATTTTCCCCCTCTACAGTATGAGTGGGACTCTTTTATGCTGCACACAGCACAGGGCTTCACCTGCTAAAATGACTTAGCATGCACACCCAGTGCTTCTGGACGGCTATCGCAATGGAGATGCAACTGCAGGCGCTTTATTGCAGTCTAACACAAGAACGTGTTTAGATGAAGGCTAACTGGGCACTCAGCTTGTTACCCCAAAGTATTTCAGGGCTGCGAACTGATTTTTAAAAATGCTCAGCACATGCCTGCCCAGCTCCTGTGCACTGATCAGCAACATAATACGCAGAAATCAGTAGACTGAAAATGTTCACAGCGCACACTTATCACTTGCTGATGGGCTCATGTCAAGGTTCTCCCGATAGGTCACAAGAGCAGGGGCGAATGAAAGAGTTGGCAATGCTAAAGCAGTTTCCCTAAAGTCATCTGCTCTACTTAAAGAAGTGACTTGTATGGCCCAGCTAGCTGCATTTCATCCAGACTGAAATACAGTGAATGCAGAAGTCAGTGGCTTTTCTTTTCCCACTTCTTTGGTGTAAGATCTACCTTGAGCAGTATTGATTTACCTAGGTATGGGGCAGGGGTTCCTGATATGATTAGAGCAACAACTTGGGGGGATTAACTCTGTGACATTTTCCAGCTCTAAATTGCCCCTCAATGCTATTATTAGCCAAGTTTCAGCCCACATCGCCCTATTCCTGGGCTAACAGCAGCTTCAGATGCCAGTTTATGTCAAGCATGGGGAAAGGGGGAGGTTAAATACCCCCACTGCCTCTGCTCTGATAAAATTCAGGCAGCCCCATTACTACAAACGAAGTATGGATCTCCCACATGCTTGGCCCTTGATAGGTTGTCAGTGGATGGAACAGGGAGGCCTTACTGAGAAAGATGCAGTGGCTTATCCATGCCCTGTCTTCTGTAAACGAATGCAGAAAGGCAGCCAAGGGACACCACTAGAAACCCCGCAGAATTCCAGGGCTTTTCTGCAACTGTTACCAAAGATGGGCTTAAATCCCTACATGATTCAACTTGAGTAAAATTGTAGTTTTACTCTCCAGCCCCAAGATACCATCTTACCCTCTCCCCTTTTGTTCTTGTCTGGAAGTTCCATTAAAACAAGGTTGACTGCTGTAGCCCATATATGTTTTTGGCTTAATCCTACGAAGGTAAAACTTAACGGTGGCACCTTGACTGCGAGTGTTATCACAGTAGTAGTATTTTAGGTGCATGGTGGGCACGCAAACTGACAGGCATCCACCATGGGGGTGATGGGACGACATTCCTTAGGCAGGTTGTAGAAGGAGAGCAAGAACCATTCTATGTCACATCATTCCCCACTCTTCCCCACTTATGAAAAGTGAAGATGCAAAAGAGTCGCTTAACCCTTCCATCTCTGATCCTTTCTGCCATTTATTCTGTATGTTAGGTGTGTCATGAAATCTGAATTATTTAACTATGCTGTGAACAAAGACAAAACTTGTATTCAACCAAAAATCGTTTTTTTACTCTGTCAAGCTGTATCCCTTTTTCCCTCAGCAGCTCTGTACTTGTCTAGAATCAGGGTTGTGATGTTTTAGGCCTTAAACATTTCATAGTTTCCTTCAGAACAAAGATGTATTTTGGTTTCTTAAGTATGGAAAGAAATGAGACGTCCAGAAACATTTTTAACCACACTTGCCCTGGAAGACTTAAGAGTTTTTCAAGACCGGTTTTATCAGGATATCCCTTCTTTTTATATATGTGCACACATGTGTTCTTCCTTCCTATCTTCTTAGCAATTTGATTTCTTTAATTATCTTATTTTTATTTGTATTTCTTTGTCCAGTAATTCTAACCTCAGTGGTATCTTTTGAAGGTTTAAAGTGTGAAAATCGGACAACCATAAAGCAACTCAGTTGCTTTCTTTCTAGTCTGACATTGATAGTATACAGTGAAGTGTACAAAACATGGTATTCAATTAAATTATTGGAACATGTAACATAAGTGTTTACAAATAAAACTGTGTTGCTGGTCAGAGGGTTTTCACAGAAGGACTCACTTTATTCTATAAATTGAGCATTCCAGCAGTGGGTGAGTTTGTACACTCGTTGTACAAACAATGCCTGCATATATGTATGTATTGAAAAACATGGTGTTTGGAGTAACATGGTATGATTTGCAAATTTTGCATGTAGTTGGTTTCATTTTTATCACACTTCTACAGTTTCTCAGGGCAGCACACAAAAAGTTAAGGCAACAATAAAACAAACATGAAAGCAATCTAAGAATGTATAAACGCATCCAGCAGAATGAAATACAACTCTAAATCACAGGAAAGCAACTTTCAGAATATTAAAAAGACAGAAAATAAAATGGCTTTGACCTTGTGCCAAAATAATACAGAAGGTAAGTGCTGGGTAACAACCATAGGGAAATTACTGTGCAGTTCAGGCACCACCACCAAGTAAGCCCTTCCTGCTGAACCTATTCAAAATACATCAGGTTCTGGGAGCGGCAGAAGGGCTTCGTTGGTGATAGTATGTACAGGCACAAACACAGTGTCAGGCAGTTCTGGTTCTTCCATTCCTTAGGCACACCAAGCTGCAGAGGGCTGAGTCTGAAATCTAATTGAGAGTTGGCAAAATGGGCATGAGGTAGTGACACCCAGATGCAGTTAACATTGCAGATGTATGTTGGTTTTGGTTTAATTGCAGTTTCTGAACCTCTTGGCATTGTTTCTATAATCCTTATAGCAGCCAGAACACGGATCAGTCTAGTCCAACAAGAAGGCCATGCAGCAATCGGCATTCTGTGCCCACCAAGCAGGCTTGGCTTGGCTTGGCTTGGCTTGGCTTGGCTTGGCTTGGCTTGGAGGGACAAGGGAAGTCTCTGTGTATGTAGTCCCAGCTACAGTCAAGCATTTGATTTTATCATTGATACCTACGACTTCTGCCCTGCTGACATTTAAAAGGCTTTTCAGCGTGAAGCAGCAAGTGACCTTTGCTGAATATTCATTCTACACTAGTCCTTGATCTGGTTCCCCACTAATGCTAGCCCATGGGGGCGGGGGTTCACCCAATGCCTGCTTCCCTCCTTCATGGCCTCCCTCTCTCCCAAAGAGTTTTGCAGCCCTGTAATACATGTCGAGTGGCTGGGGAGATGGTTTGTTTAACCACTCTTGCTTTAATCTAGGAACAACCCAAAGTATTCCAGTTCGTGTATCACACTAAGAACCTATGAATGGCGCATTTGTAGCTGGTTCTTTAGGAGAGGAACTGGTGGGCAGAACCACCCATGGGATATTGTCATGTGAACCAGGTCAATGTTGACCTCCATTTCCAGGCTGTCCAGTCCACACCCTTTTTCCATGCGGTGCTTGGATTTTTCCCCCCTCTCAACATTCTGCACTATTGTCTATTTACAGGGTTTGATGTGGAGTCTTCCAACACAGAGAGACACACAGAGAGAAAGACGCACTCACATGCTTTTTCAGAATGTTTTTGTACATCTGCAAACCTCCGGATTTCTCTGAATCTGCCCATATATCTTTTGCGCATGGGTGATGGTGTTCTGGCTACAGCTTCACAAATAGAAAAAATCAGAAATGGTGGGATAAATTCTATGACCGACTAATAAGGCCAGCCTACCTTACCATGTCAACCAGTTTTTCCAATACGCAGTTTATTTTTGTTTTCGTTTGAAATTTTGACAAGTGTCATGCCCAAATTGCATAAGAGTAGATTCATGACTACGCTTGAGATTTGTGTGTGGGGGGTGGACTGAACTGGATCAGAGTAACAATACTGTAGAAGATTTTACTCTCCCCTGAGTCACTTCCTTCATCACTCTTCTCTCTCACACACACAGTTAGCTCTGCTCTGTGTTGTGGTGGAAAACAAATACAAGTCTCTGTCTCTCTCCCTAGCAGTGCTAAATTTAGGTTTTGGTGCAGGGCAGGAAGCACTGTGATTAAAAAAAAAAAGCATGACAAACAGATTTGAAATTCCTTTCCCAGTGTCACTGCCCCCAAAACCATTCTTTCTAACCCATACCTCTGCCACCACACTGCAGTTCTTCTTACATTAAAAATCAGGCTTCAAAAGTTCTGACTGAATCTGTCACATTCCGTTTATCCTCCTGTTTGCCTTAGAAGCCAGCTATGCGCACAGCTGGAAAGAGACAAACCAGAAGCGGTCTTCAGGCTGGATTGGGGTCTACAGGTTGGTTCCAAATTACTCTGGAAAGAAATCTCAGCTACCTATTTATACCTAAACATCTAATGCAAGATTAAAACATTAAGCCAGGAAATGGGAGATTCCCGCCAATTCTCCAGCTCTCTGACGTACAAGGATTTAATCCAATTCCCTACTTGAAATGAATCTCTTTTTAAGCTTGTGGCAAATGTTGAGCATCAACTGCAGCTGTGGATGTCCAAAAACAAATGTGTTAGTCTCTCGTCAGAATGAGTGGTGATTAGTGATTCAGAACATGGTACAGTAAATCTGCCTTTTGGATTTTATTTCCACGACTGACCTTTATTGGGCATGCTGGGAGTTGTAGGCCGTTTGTCTGTGTAAACTTGCACAGAATTGCAAGTCGACAGTGAATAGCAAGCGCTTTTCAATGTGTGGGGAAACTAGGCATGTGTGTACACACAATCACGACAATCTCCTGCTTTTAAGGCACTTGATTGACTCATCCAGGCTCTGAGATGGAGGGCAGTTTAGCAGCGGCAGGTGAGAAGTGTATCAAGATGCTAGGCACTTGTCAGGATAATGCACAATATTGTGACCAGAAGCAGAGAATAGTTGGTTTTCAAACTATCGGAGGTGGTACAATCATGGTCCATCTTTCCTCAAATCTGTAAAACCTGTTTGACCATTGCTCCTTTTTTACCCACTCAATTGCTACCAGAGACGACCATCTGCCTACAGCCATTACACAGCGCCCTTTGCGAGATGGAGTGCCTTGTTGGAAGCTGCCTTCCAGTACTGGGTCACTGCTCCATCTCATCTGTACTGCCAAAACGGACTGGGAGCAGTGCCTCCAGAGATCCAGGCAGGAGGTTTTTCCAGCCTGATGCCCTCCTTGGTCTCTTCCAGGTCTACTAGTCTATGCCAGGAACGGGGGCTGGAACAAGAGGGGTATGGAAGGTGCCAAAGCAGAGACTTTCCACAATCCCTGAGCATCCTTAGAGGAGTCGGTAGGGCTCAGCGAAACCTACCCCAAAGGGCTGTTAAGATGGGACCCATCCTCTGCAAGATGGAAGCTCTGCCTCTTTCCTTCGGCCTGACTCTCCTTGTGGGGAAAACAAGCTTGGCCTAAGAACTTAAGTACTGACTTGATGGATCAAACTAAAATCCAAGTTTTTGTTCCTGAGAGTAGTCAGCCAGATGGCTCCAAGGCCAAGTAAGCAGCACATGATGCCAAAGTCCTTCCAGTGTTTTTCTTAGAAACCACAGGATGCAGAGATTTGGAGCAGCAGTAAAAGCAAGCATGGTGACACATCTGGTGAGATCTTAATATGGTTAACCCTTGAACTGCATGAAAACTGTCAGAGCATTATAAGCAGGAGCCGCAATGGAGCTGACATATCTTAGCAACAGGCTCTGTTCAACTTGTGTCGTAGGGATTCACAGAACTGGCAAATTGTAGAGTTGGCAGGTGACTTAGCAATCATTTAGACCACCCCATCCAGCCCATCCCACGCAGGTTCTAAAGTACAGGATGCATCCAGAAGAGATGGCCTTCCTACCTCAGCTTTAACATCCCCAGTGATGGAGAGCCAACCATCTCCCAGGGCAGACCACCCCTTTGCAGGACAGCTCTTGCCCGTAGAGAGCTTGTCCTCATGTTAGCTGAATGCTCCTTCAGCTAAAACTCTCACTGCAGATAGTAAACAAGCACAACAGATTACAGAGCTGGTTTGTTTCCATCATAGAGGTTGTTTTTTATGTGCAAACGATGTGCAATCAGAAGCATCCCGATCCAGGATCCTACTTCCTCCATCTACCCCTTCATTTTGCATAATGAGCTCTTTCATCTCTGCTCTTTTTTAGCTACTTTTAATAGAAAAAGTCCATAGCACCTATAAAATGTTTCTTTTAGCGGACAAATTATCGTACAAGTAAGAAAGAAAAGAACCAGCTTTGTTTTTTTTCCTAAGCAGTGTTTCACAGTGCACAGCAGAGGGCAGCAAAAAAAGCTATGCATTTGGTTTTCTCATGGTTTTCAGTCTGCAAAATGCATGAGCTGCTAGCCCACTGGTGGTTGATGCTCACTGTATTAATTTGGAAAATCCAGACAAGATTGCTTCAAAACCCAGGCATTCCCACGTTTCCCTTCCAAATCAATTCAAACACTTGTTTTTGTTGTGAAACCTCTTTTAGGTTCATGCAGCACAATCCCTCAACATGTGAATTGATCAGGTGTTACTGTCTTATCCTTTAATTCACAACACAAATGCCATTACAGCCGGTCATGGTGATGTAGTCCTCCCCTTCTGGCACCCCCTTGCATCCCCATCTTTTACATTTCTTTTACATGAGCTCACCTGCTGTTACTCTTCGGTGGTTTGCACTCACCATTTTCAAACAGCACTATCCCCAGAATAATCGTTGTTCTTAAAAAGTCCAAAGTGCAACTGCACATAAGTAACTAAAAACAATGCATGTATATACACTGAGATGTGGGAATTTTTCATACATCTGTTCAGGTATGAAAAAATCCAAGGATAATAACCACCTTTAATGAATATGCCCATCATTTCTACATCATTTACTTACAGTACATTTTCTACCCAGCCTTTTGTATCAAGTGCATTTGTATATTTTTGTTCTCTTTAATTTTATACTTCATATTCCTCTTGCCTATTGATTTGTTCACAATTTTCTGTGCTGTTTTGGTTTGTTGTTACTTGCCATCAATCCATCTCCACTGTAGGACAACCCAATCATAAGAGTGAATGCCCTCCAAAATGTTTTGTCCTTGTCAGTCCTGCTCAGCTCTTATAAACTCAAGGTTGTGACTTTCTTG